CAGAGCACAGCTTCGGGGAATGCATAAAATAGAGACCTCGAGAGCATGACCCGCATGTCAACTATCACGCCACATCTGCCTCCTGTTCCCCGAGCGGGCGCTCGGCCGGTGCCCAGAGCAGGCTGCAAGGCCGGTACCCAGGTGGGTCTGGGCGCTGCAGCGCAGGTCCCCTTGGTCCGCCCAGCCCTGCACTGGGCCCCGCCCGGAGGGTGGGGGAAGGGGGGGAGCATAGCTGTGTGTGCCTCCCGCGCAACCCCGTGCTTTATGGCTTGTGACAATAGATTTCCTCCCCTGTCCGCTTCCCTCGACACTTCAATTCCAGGAATCCATGGCCCGGCCCCTTCTGCTTACCGGGCCCTGCTCACCCCTCAGGGCTGTCATTAGCTGTGCCACCATCAACCGCTTCTTAATTGACCTTTTTAAAATGCTGGACACCAGTGGTTGCACACAGCTGTCACACATTAAATTCCCAGAGCAAGGTGGCCAATTCAGTAGCTGGTGAACTGCAGGCCTGCAATATCCTTGAGAAATGACGTCCACCAGCCTCGGTCTCCGAGCTTTCCGGGTAGCTGGTGACACCTCTCGATTCAGGAGATGACCGGACCCTTTCTCATCTCCAAGGGTTGCCCAGATCGCTTCCTGTTAAGGGACAGCTGCAGACTTCCCTGCTGGCTTTAGTCATGAAGTGAGTATATGACTAAATAGCAGGGCCCGGGCAGGGCATCCTGTGCTGGCAAAGGTCAGAGCCTTGGCACTGTCCTGCCTCTTCTCAGCCTTATTTGCATTCCTTCCTGGGAAATGGAGTAGGCAGCATGGAGAGTGGTGAATAGGGCACCCAGAATAGCATCTGAGCCTCCCTTAACCAGGCCACTGTCTCAGGACCTCCTTGGGATAGACTCTGGTCTCCATCAGCACCAAGGGCCAGCTCAGGTCTGAGCATTGTTGGAGGATACTCCTCCCCTAAAGGATTCCCCTGTGGCGTTGTGGTTATGAATTGGACTGTGATCTGCAAGGTCAGCAGTGTGAAACCACCCTCCGCTCCTCGAGAGAAAAACGGGGCTTTCTACTTCCATAAAGAGTTACCACCTCGGACACTCACAGGGACAGTTGTGTCCTGACCTTGGAGGGTCACTGAGTCAGAATCAGCTCGATGCCAGGGAGCTGATTTCTCTTAACCTCTTGCTCTAAAGGGAGAATGCCCAGGACTGTTGCCTACGCACAAGGACACTCCTGAGGGCAAGAGGCAGGCAGGAGCGGGGGACCCAGTCACCAACCCCCACTCCACTGTTCCCTGGCACAGAATGCCCTCTGGGTTAGCAGTGGCCGTGCCAGCCTTGCACCCACTGCTTGCTTCCTTGTGAGATGAAGAATGAAGCTAGGGTGGGGGTGGGGGTGGATAAAGGATCCTAGCACCTCAAGGATGGTGTGTGGTGTGTGTGACAAATGTGTGAATTAACAACTAAAGCCCTTTGTACTCTTGCCTGTCCTGCATGTGTATGTGTGTGTGTGTGCATGTGTGTGTGTCTGTGTGTCCATCCTCCATGCACCAGTGTGTTTCTGCCCATTCTTATTCAGGAGAAGGACAGAGCACACCAAAAGCATTTGCACAAATTCTATAGCTCCTCC